CGCATCAACGAGGAGGAGCAGGTAACGCATAGACCGAAAAGGTCACCTTGCTTCCGGCCCTGATAGCTATGCTCTATTGCTTGGATGTTTTAGGTTTGTTCCTGTGTCACAGCGCGCACTTCCCTTTCCAATCCGAATACCACCATTGACGTTCTGGTGGGAGGTTTCGACTGCACTGTGCGGCGTTTCGCCTTGGAGAAGGAGAACTACCGAGCGCGCGGTATATTAGACGTCAGTAAAGCAGTTAAAGTGAGTAATTGAGATTCGGGCGTTCTGACCAACACATCTCTCGATTCAGGATGAAAACTCTGCGTTGCCTTTGGCATTCAATCCTCCCTTTGTGAACTGCATCGAATTCGATCCATTTGCGAACGACTCGGCCGTGGTCGGCACTGGTAACGGCTCCCTGTGTCTGATGAGGTTTCGAGGTGACTCGATCAACTTGAAGGATTTCAAAACGAGCATACTCAGGGTACGGTCATTAACCAGCGTTTGTTGGTCAGTTTCGTTCGAGGATGTATCGCTGCTCCTAAGCATCCATTGCCGCTCAGATACCCGCTCATAGTCAGTCCATAGCCGATTTGACCTGCCTGCGCGGCCGCCACGTAGCGTCTGTTGGCTCTGATGGACGCCTCGCACTGTCATCTCTAGTCGGGCAAACACCTAGGGTTCTACAGCAGGTTGACCTGGGCTGGAAACCTTCCGCGGTTCGTGCTGTGGGAGAAGACGATTTGAGCGTTGTTGTCGGCGGAGTTGATGGTCAACTTCAATGCTTCCACATACGTCCATAGACAAGTTCACCAGACAAGGCAGAGAGTGTTGTGCATAGTTATGTCGAACACGAGTTCTCTATGTGTATTTCGGGCGAGCGCTAAATCCTGCCCCGGAGAACCAGGTTTCACCAACTCGCCAAGCTTGGCGATTTCGGGTCCTAATGAACTCTCGCCAACACGCTCAATCATGGGATACGACCGCTTCTGGACCATATTTCACCTCTTTGGCCTCGATACCTAACGAATTTCACCGAGATGTGGCGGAAACTGGTTGAGGTAATCCGTAGTTTCGTTCGCCCAAATGATCTATCTCGTTCTGGGCGCACGGTTACAGCAACTTGGTATTGGTGTAACATGCCCGTGGCCCACATATTGCTATAAAACTTGGTAAACTTATCGGTATTCGCCAAGTACGTGTCGCAAAACGCCGATATATTGGTATAATCATTTGTTTATGAAGATTACACCATCTTTGGCGATATCCGCCTTTTATCGATCACGCTTGGTATGTTCTCGAGTCGGAGTCGAATATCGCCAGGTGATTTGTTCAAATCTGGTGTTTTGACAGGCTTTCGCCACAACTTATTCATGATTCCTGTCCGGCGAAAGCCGTATCAGGACCGTATACTGCCAAGTTGGATTTAACCGCATATAATGTTCGGTTAAATCCAGCTTGGCAGTATCAAGGGTGAATTCACTTACATCACTGAAGTGTGCCGCACACTTCAGTGACTCTGATTATGATTATCATGTGACATGATTCACAAGACATGGTTCATGTCTTGTGGTTGGGCGATAGAGCGGTCGAGTACAGGAAAGTTCGCGCGGGGGACCCAGGATCTACTCCCATGAGTTGTTAGCACACTTCGTTCACCTTTACGACTCAACACTAATAGTTATGGATTTCTTTCACAGAGATAGTATCGTCTCCTTATCCCGTCATTCGATATTGTTATTGCACATTGTACCGCACGCTACACTATCTAAACGCAAGTCGTATTAAGTATATGGAGAGCTCAAACATAGAAAAAATTTTTCACATTATCTTCACTTTGCTATCGTAGGCTTCTCGTGATACCTGATAACACTGATCGAGATGCTCCACAGAGCATGCTGAACTTACCGGTTTACTTCCCAAAAAAGTACTCGGAGCGAATACGGATAAAACCGCGATGAGTCATACATCGGACCGAGGCTCGATTGGATCGAGATATCGAAAATCGATCGATTGTTCGGTGCTAATCAATCGAGGATGCTGCGGCGGGCAGACGAATCGATTCGATTCGAGGAATCGATCCACCTCGAAACTCGAAATTCATTGAAATGCTCTTCTACGTCAGCATTGAGGGTTACTTATAGGGTCTACAGCACCTGTCATATTATTGCAACAATTCAGGATGCCTTTAGCAAAGCACTTCCACGAGAAGAAAAAGTAAGGGTCGAGGCTAGACCGCTCAGTTGATAGCCACAGGCACTGGGAGGCTGTCTGATTATCTGACTCGGATAGACTCCATCAGCGAGATACTGAATATCCGCGCACGACCTTGCTGTTCGCCCGAGGCGAATCGCTTTGCTGTGGCACGCTGCCAATTGCGGCGACAGCCAGATATTCTGCAGATGCCGATTCCCCGGGTCGGAAGGATGGTATTCCCCGGGTTCGGTCAGATTGCGCGTTTGCCTCGAGCCTCGACGAACCCTCGAGATTGTTCTTCGGTAATTCAGAAGAAGATTATCCAAATACTATTTCTGAGCATAATCCACACCGCAAATTCAATATCCCTAGTAGCGGCTACTAAGTAGCCTAATAACTCTAATAGTTATCGCATATAGCATAGGTTCAAAAATCCGGATTCTTCGCCCCGCCCCTAAATTACTCAATCCGCCCCTAAATATGCCACATGCGTTCTAAAGTTGGATGAGTCATCCG